ACCAGCATGGGAAAAATCAGGCAGCACTTGTTCTCAGCAGCACAAACTTGTGAGTTTCAGAAACACGACATACATTTTAGTTTGTACTAGAACTGTAGTGTGTTAACAAGGTTTGAAAAGTAAGCATAACTGAGATATTTCAACACTTTTGTGTGGAAAACGCCAGTGTCTGGGGTTTAATGTTGGTGGGATAATAGCTTTTCTTATTTTAGCTCAAGCTAAGCATAAAAGGCACTTGTAAAGGACTTCTTACTTACGGGCAGCATTTTAGAACAGCAGGGAGGGATGTACTTCTGGAAGCCCTTGCCAGAAGGGTTGTCTTGGATATCAGAACATCGGGTTGTCCAGGATGTCTTGGCTGCATTTTTGCCTGCAGCACTGATGGCCGTGTTCCCGACACCCGGCCAGGTCTGCCTGTTTCCTGCAGGCATCCGCACCTTGCGGGCTGGGCATCACAACAGTGTTAACCACTGGGAATGTCTGGCATCATGTTTTCGGGGGTTTTTATTTTAAATTCCAGATGGCTTTAACAACCACCGGCCCGAAGTGGCTGGCTGCCTGCTGAAATTCCGAATGGATCAGGATTCCTCCCTGAAGCAAGGTGCCCCCACAGGCAACTGTGGCTGCTTTGACAGTGCCAAGTGCCTCCTGCAAACTGACATCAGGAACCTGACGTGATGAGTTTTGTTTCTCTGGGGAAAGGCCATGGTTCGTGTCTGAGGTCCCGTGGCCCGCAGTAGCCGGCTGCCTGCTGAAATTCCACACAGATCAGGATGCCTCCCAGAAGCAAGGTGCCACTACAGGCAACTGTGGCTGGTTTGACAGTGCCTCCAGGAAAAGTAGCCCAGACCTAAACCCTGACTCTAACCCTAGCTGGAGGCAGGAAATCAGCCTAGGGCTAGGGCTGGTTCCAGGGAAAAAGCTGTAAAGGAAGGCATGTTGTGGCAGTTTTGTGTTCCCCTTGGGATGCTCTTTGCAGCTGCAGTGTGCCTGGAGCCCTGGGCTTTGTGCTTTTCACAACCCTTACCCTCAACCCTGACCCTAACCCCTATCCCTATCTTACACCCTCACCCTAACCCACACCCTGACCCTAACTCCTACCCCTGACCCAAGCCTAACTGTAACCCTCACTGCCTCCACCCCCTAATTCTAACCCTAACCCTTAATCCAAGCCTAACCCTATACCCTAACCCAACCCTTACCCTAATCTGAAACCCTAACCTGAAACCTTAACCCCAAACCTAACCCCTAACCCTAAGCCTACGCCGGCCCTTTTCCCTGGCAGACAAAACTCACCAGCCCAGGTTCCTCATGTCAGTTTACATGTGGGTTCGTGGTGGGCTGTTCAGTTTTACTGTGCAGGATTTCTCCTCTACAAAGCTGCCAGCCTCTCACCCTAGCCACAATGACTCCACTGGACCTGCAACTCACAGCCTTTAGACCATCAATGTCTTTCCCAATCCACTCTGTCACCACTGGCCCTTTCTAAATGCATTCCACTGCAGTCCTAAAACTCTGCATTTTCATTGAGCATCCCCTCTCTTTCTGACCCTGACAATATTCCAAAAACCCCTGAAGTAGCCTTTAAAAACTCCTTAGATTACTATTTAAAGCCAAAAAAAGTCCTAAGAAAGCTTCAAAAATTTCTTATATATCCTTAGAAGTTGTAGAAATATCCTGAGATAAACCTGCTCAGCCTCCAAGCCCCACCTCTTGCTCTTCCTGTTCCTCCCTCAGCTCCCAGCCTCTGTCATCGTCAAGCCCACACAGTGCCCCTCAAGAGGCCCCTCAGCCTCTGTAATGGCCCAAAAGGACCCTAAAACCCCTACAAATTCCCTAAAAAAGCTCTAGTTTTCAAAGTGCCATAAAAACCCCAAAATACACTAAATACCCTACTTTTAAAAAACCCCTCAAACACCCCTAAAAATCCCTAAATATTCCTAAAAGAACTCTAAAGATACCCCAAAAGTCCTTAAAATGCCCTGATAAGATCTCAAAAAAAACCCTAAAAAATTTCCCTGAAATAGCCCTTAAAAACTTCATAGAATACTCTTAAAAGACAAAAATGTGCTAAGAAACATTCTAGAATCCCCTCTGTCCTTAAAAGTTGTGGAAAAATCTTGAGAAAAACCTGCTCAGCCTCCAAGCCCCACCTGTTGGTCTTGAACCCTCAGATGTCTTCCCTACCTTTTTGCAATGGCTCTTGTTTTCCTCTGAGCGTTCTGTCCTTGTCCTGCTGTGAGGGCTGCTGTCTTGTCCCAGCAGGAGGTTTCCAGTCTGCTCTCACTCTTAGGGTTGCTGTGTTGTGCTGCTGTTGGGGAAAAAAGCTGTTCTTTGGGGGGCTGGTTAGGGTGAGGCTAGGGCTGGGGTGAGAGGTGCTGCACCTGTGCCCTAACCCTACCTGGTACCTGTGTCCTTTGTACCCCAAACCCTCAGTGTCAGCTCTCCACCTGTCAAGGCCCCCGCTCTTTGCCCCTCAGCCCACAATGGCTGTGTGTCACCCCAAGCCCCTGACATTGTCCCTTGGCCCCCTAACCTCCACCGTGCACTCTCCACAAGGGTAGAGCTGTTTTTTAGGGTGAGGTTAGGGCTGGTGTGAGGGCTGCGTCACCTCTCACCCTCAGGCACCCCCCACTTTGCCCCTCAAGGCACCCCCTGCCCCTCAGCCTCTTTGTGTCACCCTCAAGTGCCCCACTGCAGCCTCTCAGGGTCTCTGCGCCACCCTGGAGCCCCCTCTTTGCTCCTAAAGGCCCCTTCTGCCTCTCAGCTGCCCCCATGCTCTGTGTCACCCTCCAGCCCCCTCCCGTCAGCCCGCAGCCCCTGGTGGCACCCCGCAGCCCACAGACGTTGTCCCTGCCGGTTTTATTTGGGTGCTGACCTGCTGCCAGGGTCCCTGCCTTCCAGCTCGCATGAGTTGCTGCAGAGAGCCACAGGCCAGCGATGCCTCAAGGAGTGAGGGGCAGGGCAGGGCCGGGGAGGGGAGAGGAGAAGGGAGGACTAAGGGACAGGGTAGGGGCAGCAGTGGGAGGGGAGAAGGGCGGAGAGAGGGAATGAAGCAGAGCCGGGAGGGAAGTTCCAATAGGCGTGATGGGAGAAGAAGGGGACACGGCAGAAGAAAGCTGAGGGGAGGAGAGGCACCCCAAATCTCCCACAAAAACACTGCAGCGAAATAAAACCCTAGTAAGGCCTTGGAGTGCCAAGCGCCCCCTACAAAGTGAAACCAGGATCTTGAGCTGGTGAGCTTTGTTTCCCAGGGAAAAGGGCAGGCGTTTGTGTCAAGGCGCCTGTGGCCCAGGCTGGACAGTTGCCTGCTGAAATTCCGAAAGTTGCAGGATGCCTCCCAGATGCAAGGTGCAAGCTGTAAGCTGTGGACAGATAGAATGTAGGAGAATAGAGACAATGGTGAAGTTAATCTCACCCCTAAGGAGTTACAGCTGTGCTAATTATCAAGCATTAAGAACAAGCCGGCCCTTAATAGGACACAGCTAGATCCACTAAGGAGTATTATAAAAGAGTAGGTTGGTTCATTAAGATGTAAGATGGAGTTTGTTGCCTGTGCTGAGAAAAAGGAGTTGGTACTGTGAGGAACTGCCCAACAGAACTCACCAAGAAGGTACAAAATATTTGCATCAAAATGGCAAGTGCGAGCGTGACCAATAGTGGCTGGTTTGACAGTGCCAAACGACTCCTGCAAAGTAACATCAGGAACCTGTGCTGGTGAGTTTTGTTTCTTAGGGCAAAGAGCCAGCATTTATGTCCAGGGGGCAGTGGCCCGGAGTGGCCGGCTGCCTGCTGAAATTCTGAACGGATCAGGATGCCTCCCAGAAGGAAGGTGCCACCACAGGCAACTGTGGCTGCTTTGATAGTGCCAAGTGCCTCCTGCAAACTGACATCAGGAACCTGGCCTGGTGAGTTTTGTTTCTCTGGGGAAAGGCCATTGTTCCAATCCAGGGCCCGATGCCCAGCGTGGCCAGTTGCCTGCTGAAATTCCGAACGGATCAGGATGCCTCCCTGAAGCAAGGTGCCACCACAGGCAACTGTGGCCTGTTTGACAGTGCCAAGTGCCTCCTGCAAACTGACATCAGGAAGCTGGTGTGGTGAGTTTTTTTTCTCTGGGGAAAGGCCATCGTTCGTGTCCAGGGCCCGGTGGCCCGGAGTGGCCGGCTGCCTGCTGAAATTCCGAACGGATCAGGATTCCTCCTAGAAGCAATGTGCCACCACAGGCAACTGTGGCCTGTTTGACAGTGCCAAGTGCCTCCCGCAAACTGACATTAGGAACGTGGGCTGGTGACTTTTCTTTCTCTGGGGAAAGGCCATGGTTCGTGTCCAGGGCCCGGTGGCCCGGAGTGGCCGGCTGCCTGCTGAAATTCCGAACGGATCAGGGTTCCTCCTAGAAGCAATGTGCCACCACAGGCAACTGTGGCTGGTTTGACAGTGCCAAGGGCCTCCTGCAAACTGACATCAGGAACCTGGCCTGGTGAGTTTTGTTTCTCTGGGGAAAGGCCATCGTTCGTGTCCAGGCACCAGGTCACGCTGCCTCTGTCCCTTATGTGCCACCTCACGGCTGAGGTGCACACCCTGCACTGGGGCGGCTTCTCCTCGGGTTTTGTGTGAGTTTTTGGGCACCAAGACTGGAAAAGACATGAAAACTGACAAGATATGGAAAAGACATGGAGGTGTTGGAAAGAACGAGGATGCTGAAGGGCTTGCAGGGACGGCTGAGGCCACTTGGGTCTGTCCAGCTGGCAGAGCCTGAGGGGAGACCTCAGCAGCCTCGGGACGGGGAGCGGGGGTGAAGATGCCGATCTCTGCACTCCAGTGACCAGGCGCAGGACTCGAGGAAACAGCACGAAGCCGAGGCGGGGCACGTTTAGCTTGGAGAGCAGGAAAAGCTTTTCCAAGCAGAGCCGTGCCCGCCCTGAGGGGACGCGCGCGGGGGGGGGCGCGGGGGGGGGGGGGGGGGTGGTGGAGGGACGCGGCGCGTGCGGGCTGGGCACGCGCGGCGCGCGGCGATGACGCGCGCGCGCTGCCCCGCCGTCCCCCCGCTGGCGGCGCGGCCATGAAGGCGACGCCGCTCTCCAACTGCGAGCGGCGCTTCCTCCTGCGCGCCATCCAGGAGAAGAAGGTGCGGCGCCAGCATCCCCCTCCCTGCCCCTTGCCCCATCCCCTTCCCCGCCGCCCGGCTGTCCCCGGGACCCCCC